TGGTAAAAACTTAATTGAAATATTTACGAAAACGCCATAAATGCATTTTCACAGTTTTTTGACCTCCAAAACTTGTGTTGTGAATCTGTTTCAAAAGCACGAGATCGAGCAACCTATGTGAGCAACGGGTCGGACCGACCCGCTACTCACATGATTTTCGCTTACATAATTTCCTCCGAATTGCTAATGCTCACATATTTTTCAGAGTCCGACGCAGATCGTATGGAAGCAGGCTGGACTTCATTTTTGACACGAAAGAGCAAACGGGGTATCGTTTTTGTGACGAAAATTGCGACGTTATTCCAGTCGGCATTTTATTTTTTGAGGGTTTTTTAAAGTTTAAAGCTGAGAATCAAAGTGATCGTAAAATTTCGCGGAAGTCAAGGGAGACTTCGTTTTCACGAAGCTTAGAAACGAACTCATGTCGTGCCCTAGGGTCGGTTCAGCTCAACGGGCACCCTTCTCTGCGCCCATCTGAACACCAAATTTGGCGTCATATCATTAAGATTTGATTGTAAAACTTTTGTTTGTGTGGTGCAATTCTTGTTAGCATGCCGCGGATGTAGGTCGATTCGCACAACCCAATGCTTTCTGCACAGGGACACTGCCGTGAGCGAAACAACCTGCGGCGCTTCAGCCTAACTAAGCAAAGCAGGGGAGGAGAGATTTGCAGCGTGCGTGACGTGTTAAAACAAGTCAAAACCAGGGCGGCGCTGGAGAACCCCCGTGCAAAAAGACTGTAGCGGTTCCGTGGCCTGAATGTAGCCTTGGGCGGAATAGGGCTTGTGGAGTAAGGTATCCGCTTGTTATCAATCCGCTAGCTTACAGCTATTTTGAGTTAGACGGCCTGCACCAGCGCAGAACTAGAATGCTGCATATAATGGGCGTGACAAAGCAGTATACATACATCAAAGTTGTAGAGATATGTACTCATCACAGCAGGTCATGCTTAGGGCATGGCCTGCACGGTACTTAGCATGGATAGTGATGCGGTAATAGAGGATGCCGACATTGACGGCACACTGCCACAGGCGGAAAACGAATGGACAGCGAGGGAAATAAAGAATTATGTAACAACGACTGATTGCTTCTACAAAACGATGATCTGCTAAAGGAGATGAAGAATGTGCCGGACTATTCGGTTCGCGTTCTGGCCGGTCAGGTATGAAGCAGAAAAGGAGAGACAGCACATGATTAGGAAAACATAAAGTAATTATCTTCTGTGACGTTTTGCCACACAGGTTTGTATAAGTATTATTTATTCAGCCTGACGTTTTTGACGCAAAACATCACAGAAGATAATACTACTACAATTCCCAGGTTTTACGAACAGAGAACATATGAAATTCTACATAATGTAATTTACTTTTCTTTCACAAACTCTTCTATTGTCCGGATAGAGCAGTGGTCGTTGATGAGCGCCGCATATCGCATATCTTTAACTTTGTTAAGATCAGCGAGGTATGAGAAAGTGTGGCGATGACAGGCGGCAGATGGTTGAAGTAAGCAGGATTTGATGGAAATGTTGGAATTAGTGCATCGAATATGGCACATGCGGTTGAGTCCCAAAATAATTGTACTTTGAATAATCGTGGTTGAATTCGAAGGTATAAACTTTTCATCCTCGAAATCGGCTGTCTCTACCTTTGCGGTAGCCGTAGGCGATGTGGCCTGCGAAGACACCTTGGATGCAGATAAGATTTGTTCGTATGTATCGGTCAATCCTATTGCAAGGCTTCTAGTTTTCTTTTTTCTGGATCTGCGCCCTCCAGCCTGATGTTTTGCGATACTCGCTTTTGTTTTGTTGATAACTTCCTTCAGAACTTGAAATGACTGTTTTGCTAGAATGCTGCTGTCTATCATGTTTTGCTAGAATGCTGCTGTCTACCAACAGCTGGTGGTGGGCTATCCACAGCGGTTTTCCCAGTTAAGCGCACATTATGAGTCCTTGTTTGGTTGCTGGAAATTTCATAGAAGCATGCTCGGCTTATTGTTTTTCCCGTATTGTGAAGGATTTTGTGCGTTCCAGTCCAGACAGTTCTATCTCGGATGTCAGTATTCGATCATGCAATGTTAACGGACATTTCGGCATCAGACATAGCTAGTATGTACCTGATATTCTTCGAGTGCGTCGAGCTCCTTTACCATAACTTTCCTCATCATTCTCGTTTTACAAATACAGCTGTTCCAGTAGATCATCTGATCTGTAAAGATACTCATATCAAAGCAAGTCATGCTTACGGCATGACCGTACGGCAAAGGCCCTGTTTCCTACAGAAACCAAACCGCCGCAAAGAGGTGCCCTCTGCACATGGCCATTCATCAAATGTAGGCGATTGATGAACGCAATAACTGCGGACATATCGGCGTCTCTCGGACCAAGCGCTCTTTCGTTTCTCTTACCATCTGCTGCATCTCCCATGCACGAACTATCTCGGCTGGACGCAGCCGCGCCCAGTCCTTGCGTGTCATGAATCGTGTATATGTTTGAACGTATGTGATACCATTTACCGAATTGAAGTATTCTCTCGAACGCTCATTTACGACTCAAAATCAGCATCCCTGATAACCGCTAATACTCCCGTCCACAGGTGCGATAAGGTGAGAATGACTTCAGGGTGAAGGGAGTCATAGTGGTCGCAGCCCCTCCAGGGTGAAAGGTGTTTCACTTGGTAAAGAAAGTATAAAACGACGGGGGGGGGGGGAGCCATGGTGTTTCCTCATCATTTTTCCTAGTCAAAGTTCATAATTTATTCCTTACCATCACTGGTTATCTTTTTTCTGAAATGTGAACCGATTTGCTGCTGGATTAGCACACGATCATATTTCTGACCAGCACCTTGTATTTTTTACCATTTCCTTTTCCTTTTTTTTACATCACCTGCCTGTTTTGGAGTTACTATAGAGGATGTGCATGCGAGAACATTTGTTTCGGAAAGAGTTAAACAATTTTTTAATGTTTACGAATTTTTTCCAAAGAGAAAAATCGTAAATGAACAGCAACGTCAGCAAGAAAATGTCTTTAAAACAATCTTGTCCTCCGCTTTTAGAGAATATATAGTTTGCCTGGAGTCTATTGAAAAAGTGCCTGGTGAAGAGTGTGGGTAGTGATTTGTGGATATTTACGAGTTTTTAGGATAGAAAAATCCGTTTTGTAGATGAACATCTTGTACGCCGTGATGGTTACCATCGAAACCGTCTCGTCCTCCACTTTCAGAAAATATATGCTTTATTTGGGGTCCTTTAGAAAAAGTGCCGGGTGAAGGGTGGGTGAGATTTTCATAATAGGAGTGCTCAAGTACAGGCTTTTTTACCATTGTAAAAAGACGTCTACTTAAGCACCCCCGTTATAAAAGTCTCACACACCCTTCACCTGGCACTTTTTCTAACGGACCCCAGGCAAAGTATTAGGTTGTCCCGAAAGTTTTGTCCGTTTTTCTAAACTATTATAAAATCATGCACAATAGAGATCTGGACGAGTTCTAACTTGCATTCGATGCAGCTCTTCCTTCTCTTTCTTATGGATAAACTTTTATACCATAATCTTGCACAATTTTTTTGATAATTGCCAAAATTCTCTACCCGTAAATTTTATCTGCTCAAAGTTAGGCCAATTTTTAAAAATTTCATTTCAAAGTTTCGGGGAAGGTTGGATATGGATCAAATAGAGCAATTCTCGGACTACAATGTAATATTTTTAGATTCTCCCAATCTGCTGTTTTCAGCTTAAGAAAATTATTTCTTTGGAGGTTTCGATTTTTGGCAGTCATGAAACAGGCAACTGCAGCAAATACTCGAAAGCTTTTGAAGTTTCTGCGATCTGCAACATGATTCTTATTAAACATTATTTATGCAACATAATCAAGCTTGATTTGCTTCAAAAAGGCAGCCTTCTGAAGTTTTCGGTACTTTTACGCGGTAAACGTAATCAAAAAGCCGCGGTTTTTATTGAATAAATAATTATAACAAACTTGGTAAACGTGGCTCCTGTAATCTAAAATGGACACGAAGTAGTCAAAGGTTTGCTCTACATAACAGTTACCAGCGCTCCTTGAAAACGCCAGGATAAAAATTTTTGAAATTCAGGAAAAGTTTAGCGTTACTGCTGAGCTGCTTAAAAATCCTTGGCTATAACTTTGCAAGTACAGTTTAGATCAGAGAGCAAATATAGCTCTAAGAAAGAGTATAAAAATATGAATTAAATGACACCTAAGCCGTTTATGGATTGGTGTTCTGTGAGTTTTAGTGAGCGATGAAAAAAACGGACAAAACTTTCGGGACCTAATAAACCTAATATATATTTTCTGAAAGCGGAGGACGAGACGGTTTCAATGGTAACCATCACGGCGTACAAGATGTTCATCTACAAAAGTTATGAATTTTTTTTACGTTAAAAACTCGAAAATTCCCAAAAATCACTAAGCACACCCTTCACCGCACTTTCTCGAACGGATATCAGATATGCTATATGCTTTCTGAAAGCGGAGGACGATACGGTTCCAACGGTGACCATCTCGCCGTAAATTATGTTCATCTACAAAAGTTACGAATTTTTTTTTGTGTTAAAAACTCCAAAATGTCCAGAAATCACTGCTCACACCCGTCACCAAGCACTTTTTTCAACAGACTCCTCCATTCCTGTACGTAAACAATTCACGTACAAATATCTTCTTTGCTTAGCCTTACCTCACTGTTGATTTTTTTCTCGGCTTTTGGTGAATGAGGTCACCTTGGTCCCGGCTCAGGGGTGAAGAGGGGGTGAGAAAATTCTCACACTATCGCACCTATGCTCCCGTCGCACGTTTACAAAGTTAGAGATCTGATCTCAGGTAGATGACATTGGGTCGCGATTAGGCTCCACCCACGGACAGATAGCATGAGGCAGTAAGTTGAAAGCACGCGGTTTATTATAAATGTCCGGAACCGCCCCTCTCAGCGACGTAATGTCCTCTACCCCCTAGCTTGAAATCAGCATTGCAAAACTCGCTAATATTCCCATCCGCGCATTTACAAGGTTTATTAGAAATCTAATCTCCACTCTAACAAGCAGTAAGGAAACAAAAAATAACAAGTTTGTAACAAAATGCACAACAACAACATAATCTGAGAACAATATGGACACCCGAAGTTTTACTTCGCCGTTTTCTTCGACTTCTTCTTCTTTATTTTTATTCTGTCCGGGAGCTGTTGAACCATGATCAGTCCATGGTAATAAAGCAGGTGGCACAGCGCTTGCACTTCTACACCATTCATGTTTTCAGGCATCTCGGATAATGACATCCACTCAGGATAACTGTCGCAAAGCGCATTATATCCACTCACATACTGAAAAGATCTTTTGAAGACAATAATGTGAACGACCGACGTCCCACCTCAACTGGCAGCTCAAAATTTTGTTCTGGTAGACCTTCATATATGCGAGAATTAGCCATGCGATGCACTATGTAGCAATTATCTTCGCTCTCGAAAATGAGTCTGAAAACAATTCTGAAGAAATTCCTAGGTCTGACTAAGCATCAAAAAACCGCACCTTTGAGCATGTCGTCGAATGAGTTTGACTCTTGTGCTGGGACGGAACTCCATCACCTCACCACTGAGAATGTCCGTGCGTGCCCCTACTGCGCTAAGCGCTTTCTCTTCTAAAAATTGAAGAGCAGATCCCTGCAATAATACAATGGGAACTCACCATCAGTGAGCCTAGGAGGAAGAGCAGTTCTCATAAATTCCCTAGCCATTAGATCGATACCCCCATCACAAACTTCCCTCAGCGAATTTCGAAGCACAGTCATATGACGATCAAGCACCTTCTTCCATCTAAAAGAAAAGTGCTCAATACATCGCTTTGACTCCGCACATCAAAAAACAGAAGCTTCCTTACTGTGACGTATCCTGTGCAAGCTGCAATGCAAAGGGACTCACTTTTCATGAAAATGTTCCTCCATGCGGTAATCAATATCGGCCACTCCACCCATGTCCAACATTCCAACAGGAAGTGTCTTTCGTATTTTCCATCTATTAGCAGTCAAACTTTTCACTGCTTCAGGGACCTCAAAGAGAAACAACTCATTGAGAACTACCACGAACAGCACACAGTACCATTTTTTCCATAAGATTAGCGAATGACCAAAGCCTTCCACTGGAAATCGTCAGATGGAACGAGTGAGCATCTTCTCCAGTGGAACCCTGATAACAATAATAGCTTGCAACCAAAAGTCGACAACTAACCCTACCTGGTGAATAAATCCACGTGGGATGTACAAAAGATCACCAGCCTCAACCCAACCCTCAAAACAAGGCTTGCGACCCTTCATATCATTATCGTTGAAATTTTCTGAACGACCTAAAACATCTCTGGCACCTAAGAGAGCAGTTCAAATACTTCTCACCGCTTGGCTCTAGAGGCAACTCATCGTCACATGAGTCTGGCGCATAAACCTTCCAGTATTTCTTTCCTTCAAGCTGCAGCAAGAATGCATCAATTTCATCCCAATGAGGAGCAAAGCCAGCTGTGCCAGCCGGGGTTAGATATCTGATCTCTTATAATTAGATATTCTTGAATGATAAAAGCAAAAAGCATCATACGTATTTGCGCCAACGAAACAGCCAAACATCTCTTGCAGGATCTCGCTGAAATACCATACACGGTCATCAAAAGTGGCAGGGTTTACAAATTGTACAGAACGACCAGCCTAAAAATGTTACTGAAGAAAAAAACATACCATTCAAAAAAAAAACATCTTACAGCGACATGCTCTTTGAGATGGCTAGAGTAGACACGGCCAGTTCCATTCAAAGTAGTACGAACCCCGTCTTTATACTCGGCAATGTTGATATTCATACCGTATTCCAGATGATTCTGTATTCGGATTTGTTGGCGAAAGTTTGATGAATGCCTGCTTAGTTCTTACCTTCTCCAAAAGCTCTACCAAACGTTCAACTGAGAACAGATTGGAGTAGTAATTTGGCATGTTCCGCTTTGCAACGAGTGTGTTTGACTGATAAAAATCCCTAAGAATCACTAGTTTGATGTTTGATGGAAACTTGAACCCAAAGAAGCGCTCACTTGAAGAACGTCTGCACATCACAAGGTGCTACCATCCATGCAAAAGCGCGAGTGGCAGAGATTGACGAATCCTTGTCGGCAAATGGGAAGTTGTCAAAATCTGGGAGCATCGTAATGGCATCTCCATGAGTCCACTAAAAGTGAATATTGCATCAAAACATATCAAGCGTCAGATGAACAAAATAACAAGAGAGATGTAAGTAGTTGCTACGAGTACATGAGACCCTCACGACATGTACCTGAAGAACTGTTGCTTCCCTATCTTCGCCTAAATATGCTTCCTCCTCAGAGTCCTCATCGTCGACATCAGAGCTAAAGTCCTCCTCGTCTTCATCATCTTCGTCAGATACATACTCCTTTGAAAAGAAACAGGTGACCGAAGATATAGATTGCATGCAAAGAGAACAGTTATGAAACACTAACCACATCTTCTTCTCCTTCCGGTTCAGAGTCGGTTTCGACAATCTCACCATTAACGACCTTCTTTCGCTTTGGCTGTAAGGAGTATCAGCAATGACTAAGTAAGCAAAAGCCAAAATATGAACCAACTTTGACCATATCATCTCGGTGTCCAACCTCATCAATCCCCTCTTCTTTATCGTCTTCAACAACTTCATCAATCAGTTCATCGTCTTCATCTTCATCAGTCACTTCTTCATCTTCATCTTCTTCGTCATCCACGTCGTCCTCCTCGTCTTCGAGTTCTTCATCGAAATCCTCATCTTCATCAGAATCTGATATGAAAGACATGTACAGTGACCTTCACGTAAACAATGAAGCGACATCTCAGGCAGCAAAGCGACATTGCTTCATGCGGTGCGGTTATAGATAGTACTGAAAACAACTGGCGATCATGCTCTATGCCTAATTATAGGTTCCAAACTCTAATCCGACATGACTCATTCTAGATCTATCAAGCGTGGGAATGACAACATTGATTCGTGCAATGTTATTCTCGCAAGAACAAAAAGCTTACTGTAAGTATCATCGCTCTCCAATCCATCAAGATTTTCATTTTCATCTAAATGGGGAGTCAAACATGAGTTCTGATGCCTAACACGGTTATCAAAAGCTGAGAATAATCAATTACAGCGCCGCAGTGGTAGAGAGAAAAAACAGAATATGTTAATGACTTACCATTTTCTACATCGCCCTCAGCATCAAGAGACCTCTTTTTCTACAAAGAAAAAATAGTATCACAGGTGAACGCATTTAACGCATTTTTATTACCCCGTTCCTAGCTTTGATACCATTACTATTCTTCTTCTTGATCATATCAGCAAAAACGTTGACATCGCCATCAGAATTATCTAAATCAAGATACTGAACTCATTGCGCAAGTTCTAAAAAAACTTACTCAGTTTCACTTTTTTGAGAGGAACCTTCTTTGCAGGAGATTCAGTCGGGGTTCCATTGGCATTAGATAATCTTCTCTTAACTCCTTTCTGATTACACTTGAGAATTTCTACCCGTTCAGCTGCTGAACCATCACTCAAGCGCTGCTTCTTGTTTTTAAACTGGAACACAATGGTATACTATATCGACCGAAAAATAGAATTTTTCAATCTTGACAGATCATAGGCAAGAGCATAGTTAAAATTTGGTATTTGGATACCTTCTCGTAATGTTTCACTCGTGGCTCTTCGGGAATCGGTTTCTTGTAGAATACCTCTCCTGGAAAAAAAAGCGTAACCATTACTTCCGTGCTTGATGGTCCTCAACACTATACCAAGGGTTTGACCGCGCATGTTTCAGAGCTTTTCAACAATTTGACCAAAAAAGACCAAGGCCGTACGTACAGTCAGTGTCAACTACGTGCTCCTTTTTCCGTAGCAACCGCGCATCCACAGCGCGCGAGCAATGCTCAGCGTTCCTTGATTGATGGGGCTAAATGAGCACAAACGGCGTGCCCGCGCACGCGGCACAGGCTGTAGTGTAGCGCTTGAGCTGATTGGAAAGGGAGCAAATCGTTGACAGGGACTGTATGTCCAAAATGTGGAGTAGGAGAAGGTTGCTTACAAAAATGGCGATTACATGCATGGATATGGCAAGGTTACAGTTACCATAGGTAAGTGGACAGTAGATATCCAGGTGAATCCTTGGGAACTGTTCCAAGTAGTGGTTGCCTACCGGGTACTACTGTGAGTGAATTTCCAAAAATAATTACGGTAGGTAGCGTTTTCACAAACAATGAATTGGTAAACTATTGCGATACTCGGCGAAATGAAAGAAACAAAGATGAATTTAAGGTGAGTTGTGAACGGCGCACTGTGTATACCCCAAACCTTGAACAGGTATAAGTGACACTGGCAGTAGTTTTTAAGTTAGGGTTCTGCAACCACGCGCAAGTGAAAAGTCGCCAGTATAATTTATTTACAGTTGAAATGCTTGCGTATGACGCCGAGGTCTATGTCAGCGCAGGTGATGTCAATTCTATTGATAGCATACGAAGAAATGCTACCAAATCGCATATTCAGCAATTTGAAGTGGTATTTAAGGTTTGGAGATAAAAGCAAAATGAATGGACATAGTTAAGATTGAAGATACCGACTTGCTGTCACGGCTTCGCCATTCTCAATGGCTGTCCAGGGATCGGCACCATTTTGTCCCTGCACACTATCTACCTCCACAATCACTGGAGATGTATTTGACGTATTCTTGCTTCTTCGTACCATACTAATCTATTACGAACCCTAAATCAGAAAGGGGGGATTAGGCACTAGTGCAGTTATGAGATAAAGGACACGATACAGAAGAATCACTAACTCTGAGGGGGACGTCCGATATTTCGCAATCACTAACAATGGGTGTAAAGAATGAAGAACAAAAATCTCCTAACTGCTGAAGCCTTTTAACAGCGTACAGATCTGACAACAATCGAGGAAGGCATGATCATAACCGCAAAAAAGCAAAAACTACTGATGCAGGACAGAAATTCCTTCTTCCCAAAATAAACAATCCCAAAAATGGTTGCAGTCTTGGTTACTGTTCTTGCGGAATTCAAGACACACCATAATCGATAAAGCTATACACTTATGGGACGTCGCTGGAAATTGGCAGAGTTTCAAAAACAGACCCTAGCTTTTGTTAGCTTTTGTAACCATTTCGGATTGGATTTACCGTTGACTATGACGTAGCCATCACGAAATATCCCCGCACTCCTCTGTTGAAACCTTCTTAAATACAGTTCAGATTTCAGAACAAAGTCAAATTTTGCGTAATTTCAGAACGGCCTCATTCTGCCTGTTTTTCAGGAACTTCATATAGCGTCAAAGACTGAATACAATGGCAACAATCGTATGACCTAGATGATGCGGCAGATCATTAACAAGTGAATTACTAGCAGACGAAACGGACATGCATGCTTCATCTTTGAATCTAAGCCGTTACTAAGCCTCGCTCCTCACAGAGAGTGCTTTGGAAAAAAACAAATTCAGAAACAAAATGCCTATAGTTATCCAAATTGAATTTACACTTCGAACTTTGGTTTCTCCCTACAGTCTGAGACGAACCTAACGAGACTTTCTTTCTTACAAAGTTGTAGCAACACAATGTGCAAGGTAGATATGTTAGTGGATTTATATTCCAATCAGGGCTTATACACTTCAACATCAAGTGCTTTATTCAACATTGTGGAACTGGTATCAAGCCCCAAAGCAGTTGCAATCGAAGTTAAAGATCAATTATTACAGTGGAACACGTGAATACCAAACTACTTGTATATTTAGAAAAAATATGAAAAATCACGCGATAGATAGTAATTATGACAACCCGGCTGTCACTACAAGTAAAGTTCTTCGGGCGCTCCCTCCTTCTTTCTGTAGAGAACATTTTCCTTAGACTTCTGGAAGTCCTCCATTGTAACTCTCATGCGGCGTTCACGGAGCGCAAGTAGGCCAGCTTCCGTGCACATGGCCTAAATCAATGCATATACGACTCATACCTAGAAAAATAATCCTGCTTACCTTGATATCTGCGCCACTCAGCTCGTCCTTCGCAAGGATAAACTCTTCTAGATTTACATCACTGTTCAATGTCATGCGAGATGTGTGGATCTAGAAGAGGATTTCACGGGAAACTTAACAGAACAAACGAAAGGTCTCTGAACATCAATTTTAACTATCGACTTGCTATTATTGATTAAGAAAAAGCAGTAAAGTTTATAGATAAGCACCTGGAAGATTCTTCTCTTCGTCTTCTCATCAGGGAGGGGAAACTCGATTTTCCTGTCAATACGACCAGGACGGATTAAGGCAGGATCCAACGATTCGATGCGATTAGTTGCCATCAGAACCTGAAAAGAAAACAATGGGAAATGAAGAGCAAAAACAAGCAGCAAAAGGCTAACCTTCACATCACCGCGCGAATCGAAACCGTCCAACTGATTCAGCAATTCAAGCATAGTACGCTGAATTTCTCGCTCTCCACCGGAGTTCGAATCGTACCGTTTTGTACCTACAGCATCGATTTCATCGATGAAAACGATTGACTGAAACGAAACTCTTTCATGTACAGTATATCTTCTACAGAAATACAAACAAAACTTACAGGTGCATTTTCTTCAGCAACGCGGAACAACTCCCTAACCATTTTTGGACCATCTCCGAGATATTTCTGGATGAGTTCAGATCCAACGATTCGAAGGAAGGTGGCGGATGTCTGATTAGCCACAGCTTTAGCTAACAGAGTTTTTCCTGTACCAGGACAACCGTAAAGAATCACACCTAAACAATGATTAAAGTGACCACAGGACGAAGGCTTTCAAAGCCAAAATTCACCTTTAGGTGGTTTGATACCCATTTCCTCGTAGTATTCGGGATGAGTTAAGGGCAGTTCAACGGATTCTTTGATTTCTTGAATTTGTTGGTCGAGTCCACCAACATCAGCGTAGGTTTCCTAGTGGAGATAGATGGGTTTTGGTGAATATGAGATAAGACTTGCGCTACGCAAGATAACAAACCTGTGGCGCTTTTTCTAATTTCATTACTGACACCATAGGATCAGCATCATCAGCGAGAACCCCGATGACCGCGTGGTTCTAAATGAAAATTTCACGCAAAATATAATCGATCTTCCCCTTGTGAAGCTGACAGATAGGCTATGAAGAACGTGTGAATGAAGAATTTTGAGAGGAAAAAAGTAGGCATTTGTTTACCTTGTGGTTAAGTAAGACGGCACAGCCAGGCTCGAGCTGTTCTTTATCGACAAATGACATGATATTCACATAATGCTCGCTTCCGACATTCTGAAAGATGTTGAGTATTTCTAATTTACGAGAGCTAAAAGGGACAGCTTACGGTTGAGACAATGGCATGTTGATCGTCGATTATTTCTTCGAGCGATCCCACCGCCATGGGTGTGCCACGGAGCTCATCTACCTAAAATTTTCCTTCCTTCAAAAAGTGTAAGCTGGATAAAATTGAAGCAATCAAAAACAGAAAAGAATGGAGTTTACATTACTTGCCTTAGTACGCTCTTCCTCCTGACGTTCTTCCTGCGGCTTCAGACGCTCCTGATTTTGGATGAACTCTTGTTCCATGAGTAGATAATCCTTGATTCTCTCACTCTTCAAAAGCTTCAGACGGCAGCGAGCATGAGGAGTTACTGAAATAGAAATACTTCAAAATTAAAAAGACATGTGTGAAAATCCCAGAAGTGAAGATTTTCCGTCCGTGATGGTTTACAATTGAAACATACTTGCAGGAAGTTTACTAGCGGTATCTGGTCCTTTGGATCCCTTCTTTCTCTTCCCGATTCTCGATGGAATTGGTGCTTCGTACTTCTTCTTCTTTTCCTTGTCAGCATCGCCTCCACCTCTTTCATTTCCCTTTCCTCCAAAACCCGATTGCTGCTGGCCCATTTTGAAGGCTGAAAGTTGAAATAGTAGATTTTATTAGGTTTTCCTTGAACATCGGTAAGAAACTTCTAGGCTGATAGTTTAGTTTAGTACAACCCAGGGACTGATCTCAAGATAAAAAGGTATTTTATTGTGATGTCAGCTTCATTATTTTAACGTAAAAAGAGCCTGAAAAGCGGAGTAATTGCATAGAATTTCAACGATGATGATAAATGTAATTGAACACAACCAACTCGGAGGCGGCCGCCGCGTCGCTTTGTTTTGCAGCGCTGCATTTACACTGGAGCACAGCAATGAAAATAAGCAAAACCGTTGCCGAAACATAGCTAGCACCACAGGACAGTGTGTTTGTAAGCATGTTGAGAGGAGTTTACTATACTGTCATTCAGTAGAGCATTATTTCATTGTGTACTAAGGAAATTCTGAAATGTTTTTCTGCATTAAGCAGAAGTGCTCCAACTCCGGCGCAGCACGCTACGCCTGCCTTTCGCCCTCTGCTCAAAGCACCATTTTGCCAGAGCCATCGGTAAGCATGTGGAACTGTTAATGTTTGTGTCTGTTGTTTGTTTGTTTTCCTCTCTCTACACAAAATATCGTGCATCCCCCAAAATTGTTCATAAATGAACCATCAATATCGCTGCCTTTCGATCGCTTTAACACGTCAACTCCAGCGAATTTAAGGCTCTATTCGAAGGTGACATGTTAAAATGATCGAGAGACAGCCACGTTGATGGTTCATATGGTAACATTTCTGGGGGATGCACCATAATTGTAGTTCGCGAGGTTTCATGCAGCTATTTTCTTATTTTAACCGAGCGAACAGCCTAGTAACCCGCGAATTTTTCTCAAGAGAGTCGAATGGCTTATGAAAGTCTCACTATGCTAACTTTTCAGGCAATATGATGCAATTTATGCTGCTGTTCAGCCGTCAAGGGAAGCTTCGTCTCCAAAAGTGGTACACGGCTTATCAAGACAAGGTGGTTTTTGAAGCACTTCTTGTGCATCTCGTTTTGACACGCTTACTTTTTTCATTCTTCTTCAGTATTGTTAGGATAAAGTAATGGAACGCGGTTATGTGCTGTTCTTGTTGCTAACCTAATCTTTCTACTATTTAATGGAATAGGACAGTATTTCCTGCGAAAGAGCTTGCATCCAGCCTCGGACTAGGGGACTCGATAGCGATTTGGACACATGTGATTAGAATCTGTGTAGCATCAGCATTAATATCTGTGTTAAACTTACGTTTAGTTTTTAACGAGATCAAAAATTTGAGTTTTTTTGACAACGTGCGCGAAGCGCTCTCAATTATACCGAGAATCATACCTCATTCTAGTTGATTTGAAAGAGAAACTGTCTCTTCTTCGGCTTTGTAAGTATATGTACGGAAAATCTGAGTGGATGTGTTGCTCAAGTCTAGTCTCTTTGGAGTAGTTGTAAATGCGACGTTTGTCCTTTATGATGTTTGGCTTGCTGAGTAATAACGGCGACGCACAGCTGCTTGATTGGCTTCAACTCGAGTAGGTCAGCTTATACTGTAAACTTGTAATCTGCTACGTAGTGGAAGGTACATTTTGGTCGTTCAAAAATTCCTATGCAAGTGGTAATCTGAGCTTTCGAACCAGGTACACGCATCTTGGAAATGTTTGTGTTCCAGATGAAGAAGAAGATCTGTCGTGAGCTTATTACGCAAATTCTTGCACGAAAACCAAAGATGTGTGCTTTCTTAGAATACAAGGATCTCAAGATTGTTTACAAGAGGTAAGGTTTTCCATTAATTTAAATGTTATTTCTGCTATTGATAACATAAACGCAGATATGCATCCTTGTACTTCTGCTGCGCAATTGAACAAACCGACAATGAACTCATTTGTCTTGAGGTCATCCATCGATATGTGGAGCTTTTGGACAAATACTTTGGCAGTGTTAGTTATTTGCAATCCTTGAAAATCTTGGCATGCTTTTTACTCGATTCCTCGTTTTATTGCAGGTTTGTGAACTTGATATCATTTTCAATTTTGAAAAAGCCTACTTCATACTTGACGAGTTTCTCTTAGCCGGTGAGATTCAAGAAACGAGCAAAAAGCAAGTGTTGAAAGCCATAGCAGCCCAGGATCTCATCCAAGAGGTATGCTCATTTCAAAATCACTTGACAGAACATCTCGCATGATGAGTCTCATAGAAATTGTCAATCTTGCATCTCGTCCCTCTTTGCCTTGTGCAAGTATTGCGCTTCTTGCTGTTTTAACCAATATGGTTAATGTTTTGATCAAAGCTTTTTGCTTCGAGCCTCTTCACACAGCGGATATCCACGCCTATATCACTAACATATATCACTGACACTCTGTAGTAAATCTTGTCCGTAATTACATTTGTGATCTCAGGCCTAGACACAGTCAATTGTATCTATACTTTTCTTGTTGATTTCTTCTGCGCTCATCCAGATAATTGTCGGATTTCGAGTCAATCCTTTTCAACTTATTCTTCGAAATTTTCGTGCATTACTTTTAAAGGAATTCTGGTAACGCAAAGATATAGCAAACATTTTCCGGTACAAACCATCCTTTCGCTTTTCTCCAGCAGGCTTTTTCTTTTAAAACTTATTGAGGTACCATATCATTCCATTTTCGTTCTATGCAGTGGGATCTTACTTAGAAAGTCAGATGAAGGAAAGTAAAAGCTGCGTGTTGCAAAATATTTGTTCCTTCTACTCAAATTGAATTCGAAAGTCAAGTTGGGAAATACTAAACGACACCGCAATCATAATTACAAAAGAAAACTAGACGAACATTTATTGGAATAGGAAGAAAAGCTTTGAGAAATCTCAGAGCATTTGCCTCTCTCTGTCTCACGTTATTTGATTGATGGAAACAGCACGAGCTTTCGAAGAGACATAATTTTTGATGAAATTAAAGAATGTGCGATTCGTATGTCTCATTTCTTGTTAAATGTAGTGAGACTTCAAGTCTTCATACTTAAATGCGCAAACTCAAATGCGGATTGAAAAAGATCGAGAATCATAATCAAAGTAAGGGATCTGCACAATTTTTGGGGCAAAACTCATGAGCAACCTAGTTACCACTAGGTGAAAATTATTTAGATTAAAATTAAAAATTAAAATTGATGAACTTATAAATTGATTTAAAAAAACGTGTCAACACATCTATACACCACTGCTGCGCAATTCAAAGTATTGGACGTACATTTTTCATCTCCGAGTGGTTCGAAACATTCTGGTGATATGCCTGTTGATAAACTTGTTTTTAGGAGGAAACCCCGCAAGGTTTATTTGAAGATCACGGGCTTGGATAATGATACTGCCATTGCCCGGTGCTTTAGCTGGAAAACCCTCCATTTAGTGAGAAACGGTTGTGCACAATATCTGATATGTCTTGCTTCTATCGTGTTCTAATAATAATGTTTTTAATTCGTGCCTGTGATATTTTCCTCTAGAAAATAATTTCATGAACTTGTTTATGTTTTGTTGCAACCACCTGCCTGTTGGAAAGGTGATTTCTGAGTCCCAAATGCTTCGCTCGCACTTTCTACCACCCAATATTGCTGTTTCGTGTTCGTTCTGTTCTCGAATGTTCGCTTTGCAATGAATGGTCCGTTCGATGTCGGTGGAAGATTGATATGTGGCTGATTAGTGTATAGGTTGTAATATGGTGGCTGTTGCGCGCAAATGTGACTCGCGCAGCAGCGTGTACTCATAGCGCATCTGCAACTTTATGCGTTTCCTCTCACATAGCGTTGAGTCATTTGTAACTCAATGTGCGTATTGCACATCATGCGCGCTACTTGACGACTTGTGAGATTGAAATCTGCTCTCATTGTTTTCTCCTCGATATTGTCAGGGTTGATTGAATATGTATTCCTTTGATTTGAATGGATATGTGTTTATTCAGTAGCACACATTTCCAAAGTTTGTTACATAGAAAATTTCTGCAGAGAGGATTCTGAAAAAGATGTCGTCGATTGCCGCGCTTAGTCTGCAGGCTTACATATCAATTACGAAGGACTTCAGAATGTCTGAAGGAATTTCTATGAAATTCTTATTTGGGGTCAAAATACCGCAGAAGGCGTCAAAGAATCGACAACTAGGTCGTAGAACCCTCGATGCTGACAGGCGACAATTCATCCAGCCCTTGAATGGTTTAACCGGTGTTTCACGATGGCGCGAACACAGCGGGAAGTCCAGATGATTGGTTTCAAATCACCACCACACTCTTTTTCGCCGTCAAAGGGCTCACAGATCCTCGTTTATCAACTGAACTAATGTGGCAGCTTTCTAGCAGCCTCCCCCCCCCCCCACCTCCGGGCGACCTTACACAGACTGACGCATATCGCCGATGGGCGCCTGATTTGTTAGTGTCCCCTTCGTCGCTCGGACATGAAAAATGTTGTCCTCCGATGATTCCACATTCAAACCATCTGGACCAGCGTTAGATCGTACTATTCGTGGCTTTTGCGTTCACATTGCATAAACACACTTATTGAAGACATCTGCGAAACTATGCAGATCAGCTTTCGTGTTGGAATGTCCTCTTGGCTTTGAAAGCGCTCTCAAATGTGTCATAGCTTGGTCTATAGAAATCTATTATGTAAATACTTTGTCGAAAAGAACCTGCAATCTCTGAAGAAGCATTCTTCTACCTTCTGAGTGCTCAAGAATTTTCTGACTGCTACTGTGATCACTCGATAACCTTTCGATTCCTAATGCTTTTTGGGTACCAACTTCAATATAGTTTTATGATAGATAGGTTACGAAGTTAAATATTCGCACCTGATTATCTGATGCCATATCAGTAAGTTATCTGGTACCATATCAGTAAGTCAATCACGTCATCTAGAGAAGACTGTTACCTAGTTTTTTGAGCTGTAAAAGCACAGTATCATTACTCTTACGTACGTATATAACCTGACCCATGTAAAGCAGTGATGGGGGCGACTTGTCTCGATTTGTAGATAGTTAAAAAATCGTTAATTTTTTCAGAAATTCAATTTAGCTTCGTAAAA